TCAGATTTCAACGGCAATCAGCTCTTAGGAGACAAATTCATCAAGGGTTATTAAGGAGAAAGGTATTCCCTTGACTCAGGCAGTCCCCGAAACTGCTGAAAAGCAGATTTCAGGGAAAAGAGCGTCACCTTACTTGCCTGACCTCCCTCTGCTCCCCGGGTCCAGCCCAGGATAGAGTGTCAGGACTCTGTCCCTCTGAACTGACCGCGCAGGTTCTCATCTCCATTAAACTGTACCTTCAAAAGCAGTACCGAGAGGCCGTGACGGTGGAACAAGGTCATGGAGGAACGCAGCGCTCACAGGCTCGTTTTCCTCCACGGCCGGGGGAGCAGCCCCCAACGTGCGATCCCCCGCCCCCGAGAGGCCAGCGGCTCCGCAGGCGCCCCGCCGGCACGTCATATCTGCTGAATCACAACAGGGGCGCGGATGGTCCCTCGCCTCGGCCAAGGAGAAGCGGCAGCGACGTTCAACTCGGCGGCGGGGCTGAGGGCCCGGGGAGCGGCCGGCTGCGCCCCTCACCCAGACCCCACTACAAGGGAGACCAGCATCTGCACTCCCACTCCCTACCGGCCCGCTCGTTACCTGCACGGCACCTGACGGCTGCGACTACCCGGCGGTCACTGCCCACCACACGCCCTTACGAAACGCGCACCGTACCACCACCCTCAGCCCCTCAACCGGGATACGCCATGTTGCCTACCTGCCCTCCGCCTCGCCTCCCCAACGACGCACTGGCGTCACACCGCGAGGTCACCTACTCCCGCCGACCCAATCAGGAGGCGCTCACAGGGACACACGTCAGCGGGAAGAGGGGCGGGGCAAGGGGAATCCTGTCTTTTTCTGTGAGGGGCGGGGCGGAGGTGGCGGGTGGTAGTGTTTGGGTCTGTTCCTGTTCTTGTCCTGGCCGCGGGTCTGTTCCAGGCTCCGGCCTTGCCTGGGGGCTCCTCTAGCCCCTTCTGCCCCTCTCCCAGGCTTCCACGGGGGCTGGATGAAGGTGGCGAGCCAGGCCCAAAGGGGGCATTTTGCTCCATACGTCTCAGACCCTTCCCTCAGCAGACATGGCTGCCTCGACACCTGCCCTTGTCCTCTCACGAGGGGCTGTGTACCCACCTGGCACAACTGAGGAGGCACCTCTGCCAGGATGCACTGGACCATGGCACTTTCCCCAAAGAGCAGCTTTTACAGTGAGTTTTCAGCCTTTTGTGAGGGACTTGGCCCAAAATTGAGGTGGTTTGTCCAAAATGCATATGGCAGTTGTATTTGTGAGGGAGGATGTAGAGAGGAGCATTAATCATGGTAAATCACGACTGAAAAAAGCCAAATGACAATTATCCCTTGGGCTTTTTATCCTCAGGGGAAGCTGGAAAGACTGTGAGGCTCTTTTCTAGTTTTTTTTTTCAATTTGGCTTTTCACAGTGTCACCAAATGTGACGAAAGAAACTTATCCAACACCAATTTGATGTGAATAAGTTGACATTCCTTTATTCAGCGCTGGAAACACAGGGGGATATCTCCTCCAAATCATGTTCATCCAACTACAAAATCCATACAGTTTATAGATCTTATCATTACATAAGTTTCATTCTTCTATTCAGTTTTATACTAGTTATGCCTAGCTGAGTTCTATTCTTCTATTTAGTTATATATTAGTTATGGTCCAGTTGCCCCACTCTTGAATCTAAGCTTTGAAAGGATTGGTTCTTTTAGGTATATAGTCTTATTGATTCAAAGGAATCTCTACACAGTATGTACTGTATAGAATAGCACACTTTTATTGCGGCCGGGGCCACGCAGGGGTTGAACCACCATGTGTGTGTCCAACAAGTAAAAAAAAATGAGAGCTTTCTATACACTGGAGAAAGCAAGTTTCAAATATTATCTATCATATGCATTCTTTGAGAATCGGTACAAAGTCCGGTTTGTAGCTGTCTTATTATACATTCGATTACCTATTCCCTATACTTATTACTATACAGTTGTTACATAAAGCCTTATCATTTCAAGCAACCATACCACCACCCATCTCCTGTTTCCCTTGCAAAGTTATTGATTACTACTGTGCTGAAGAGCTTCTTTTCTGGCCTCCTCTAGGTCTCTTTTGCAAGCCATTACATTCCCTTATCTTTCCCATTCATGCAAGCCTTTACATCCCCTTTATCTTAACTGCCCACAGTTACATTTTGCAAAGCCACACTCATGCTAAGTTTCAAAAAGTTACGCTAACATGGTTAAGCTTTATTTTGTCTGTTTCATTATCCTACAACAATCATTGGTCTATACTATTTAGCTATACTAATTGGGATCCAGAGTTCCTGGACCAAGATGGGGAGGGTGTGGGGGACTTCAAAGCAACTTTGTATGGTCCAGCAACTTCTTGGTAAAGTTCCTGTGGTTGCATTCTTTCAAACACAATACCCCTAACAATTCTAATACATCGTGCTTCTCTACCTTTAATCACAACTACTTTTATATTATCAAATCTTGATTATTTTATCAAACCATTTGCAACAACAGCACCCTTGTAGTGAAGTAAGATAACATGCAGGTACCCCCAAAATGCCAGGCAGTAGAAGAATTGTAGGAAAATTTTTTTCCAAAGTTGAGAACACTAGACTTACAGAACATTAATCTTAATGGCTTTTCAAACACTGGGCCCTGGGGAAAGACACCCCCTGTTCTTCTCAGGGCTTTTATCATCCCTGCCCCCCCCCATGGAGGCCTTCAACAAGTCTGCAAGGACTTATCTTTTGCTCATACCAGGGAGGATTTCTCTGGAATGCAGGAGGAGAAAACATCTAAAACTGTCTCTGGGAAAGATGCCTCTTTTAGGAAGGAAAGTCTTCTTAAGCAAAACAAGCTCTGATCTCCTTGCCGTAAATCTTACGGAAGGGTCTTCTACACTTACACTTGTCTTTGAGGTTTGTTAGGTGAAAACATACACAAAAAAAGGCATAAAAGAAATGCCATCTTTATTAGGAAAATAGTATGTTTACTGATTTCATGTGACTTGAGACATCAGAGGGTTTCAAGTGGTCAGGAGGTGGCTTTCTTTGCAGTCTGTCTGTACATCACATTTCTTTTCCTGTATTCTTTTTTCTTTTCTCTACATCACTCATTGGTGATTATTGGGTTTGGATTACTCTTAATTTTTGCCTCTATAAGTATAGGAAAAAGTACATATGAGCCACGTGAACATAAGGAAAAGCACACATCCATCCACATCAGTTTTAAAGCAGCATAATCAAGTACAAATATTTTGTATGCCCTTTAATTCCCCTATAATAAGGGAGTTTCTTGGTGGAGTAGAGTACCTCAAAGATTGACCAAGCCCCTTGTACACCAAGCAAAGTGCACTGGGCTTTTATATTCACTCTGAGAAGCCAGGTGATAAAGCCAAGCTAGTTAAAAGGGTCTATCTAAGGGAAGCCAGTGCCAGGCTTTAGTCCCTCTGGGCTAGCAGTGGAAGGGGAGGAAGAGGTGTTTTATGCTTGTGGTCAGATTTTCCCACAGGAGAGATGGAGAATTTCAGTATAGATTGTGCATGTTACAATTGTAGCAGGATGCTCTGCCTGAAAGGGGGTAAACCAACTTGAACAATGCCCTATTTTGCAAAGCTATCAGTGGTGGACTGAGAGGGTATATCATGCTGCTTTTGGTGTTGAATTATGCTAAAAACAGTCTGACTCATCAACCCCAAAGTTAAACATCCTGATATTGAGGTGAAGATGTGGCAGATATGGTAAAGCATCCTTATCTAAAAATGCTAAAGCTGATACAGCTGGTTGTTGGTGTGGGTGAGTAACATCAATCTCTACTTAATAATTGTTTGGGGTTTTTTCTAGCTTTAATATAATTGCTTTCATATAATTGCTTTCATATAATTGCTTTGATATAGTGCACTATACTATACTAGTAGTTTTAGCTTCTATACTGCATAGTTACCACCTAAGGAGTCTTTCTGCTCTGCCTTTTGCAACCGGACTTGTCTATCTTGCATTGGCCTTTTTAGCCATCAGTGCGCTTGCAGCAAATGTGGGTAGAGTCCTTCCCAAATCTTCATTCGCGAAGCCTAGCCATGGTGATGATGACTGCAAAGTAAATAATTCTGATTAAGATATTTTTGTCTAATCATTTATCGTAATAAATCATTCATTTTTATATAAATATATCTGTTTTGCCATCCTTAATCCTGTGGGACAAATTTGTACAAAGGTTCAGTCACACCTCTATAATTCCTTAGACTTAAACAAAGTCTGGGACTAAGATTGGATCCAGCTGCAGCCAGGCTCCTCTCTGAGAAGGAATTTAGAAAGCAAGGGGTTCCTTTCTGCACCTTGTGAATCAACGGGAGGGCTTCTCTAATAAACTTAGCCTGAAGCTCCCACTCTACCTGCGACAACAATCAACAGGAATATGCTCACAGGCTGGCTCTCAGTAAACGCTCACTGTGTTGGTTTGGCTGGGGTAGAGTTAATCTGCTTCACAGTAGCTAGTATGGGGCTCGGGTTTGGATTTGTGCTGGAAACGGTGTTAATAATATAGGGCTTCTCTTATGCTTAAACTGACGGAGTCCGGGAAGGCTGCCAGCCAGCCCCGCCGATCCATGCAGGGCACCGGGTAACGGACATAGGGTGAAGCCGGGAAGCTTCACTCCGAGCTCCCGCTGCCGCCGCCAGGGGGCGCCGCCCCGGCCACGCTGCCTGGCAACCACAAAGAGTGTGGGCCAGCTCGCTGCCCTGCCTCCTCCAGTTGCTAGGAAACGAGGCTTTCGGGCGGGGCGGGGTAGGGCAGCCGTCGTAAAGGAGCGGTGCGACTGTCGTAAAAACATTTCGGGGAAAATGTCGTGAAGCGCAGTCGGTAGGGTCTGTGGCGGAGGGAGTGACTGGGCCCGGCTCCCCGCACTTACATGCCCCGTATCCTGGTGGCTCCCTTCCCCTCCTGCTCCATGTGGGGCCCGGGTTTGGCTCTCGTCTTCTCCGGCTTCTTCTCCTTCTTCTACTATGGCCCGGAAAGCAGTTAGCAGGAAGCGGAAAGCGGCGACGGCTGCCGCCGGGGGGCTCCAGGGGGAGCAGGTAGACTGGGGGGCGGAAACGGGTGTATGGGGGTAGAAGCCTACGTGCCCGTGCCTGGGGTGACCCTGATCGGGGGTTGCCGTGTCCCGGTGCCCGGTTGAGGTGGGGAAAGGGGGGTGGGTTCGGTGCTTGGGGAAGGTGTCCTGGGGAGGACGGGAGATGGTGGGGGATGGTGGGGAGGAGTAGTCTTGGCCCCGGTAGCGAGGGGTGTCTCGGTGCGATACGGCAGGCAGCTCCCCCTGTCCCTGCTCTCTGTTCGGCCCGTAACCGCCGAGTCCCCGCCGCCCCAGAGCTGAGCCTTACTGCGGGGCGACCCCAGGCCGGGCCGTAAGAGGCCGATGAACGGCGCGATCAGTATCAGATGGCCCCCGCAGTGTCACCTTCAAACCTGCCGAGCTCACGGCGGGAGGCTGTTGGGGCTGCTTTTCCATTTAAAGTGCTTCTTGGCTTCCTCTTGTTTCTATAAGCTTCTGGTGTCCCAACGGTGCCAAACCAGGATGTACTGTTTTCAATATCATGGCAGTGTTACTTCTTTAGGAAATATTTATGTTTAATTTTACGTTGCTGAAGGCTTTATCAGTATTTCTGAGTTAATCTTCGTGTACAGTATGCCATGGGTAGTTTGGAAGGCTTCAGTATTTTGCTGAGAATATCTTTGAATTTAGAAGGCTTTGTGCCTTAAGTTTGTTCTAGTTGCTTTATCTAAGTTCCATGCTTCTTTTCCACAGTATGGGTGGGATCATTCAGTTCAGAAAAGGAAAAGACTCCCCCCAGTGAAAAGGTCTGTGGTGTACTACCTGAAAGGTAGAGAGGTCAGGATGCAGAATGAGTCCAGCTACCACCGTTTGTTGCATGGGTATGCAGCTCAGCAGCTTCCCAGCCTCCTGAAGGAGAGAGAATTTCACCTTGGAATCCTTAATAAAGTATTTGCCTCCCAGTGGCTGAACCACCGACAAGTGGTGTGTGGGACAAAATGCAACACAGTAAGTGCCACCTATCTTTCTCTTCTCTCTGTTAATTTTTCCACTCCCAAATGATGCTTATCATCATAATTGAAGTATGTAGACTGCCAAGGAAAATATTAGGAAGTAATTAGGTGCAGAGTCCAAATTGTGCACAGTTAATTTTGAATGAAGGTAATGCTTAACAATCACCCATTCTCCTCTGAAAATATGGCACTATGCAGATGGCTGGAAACCTGAATGTGAGGCCTGTACCTTATGCAGCATCTGTCTAATCCACATAGAGCGATTTACATCTATTTGTAGGATGGCAAGCAACAGTGGGATTGGATCTTTCTTCTTGTCCTGCAAATGTAAAGTTAATGAACTGATACTGAAAAGCAGCAGAAACAAACTCCTTAACACCAATTTGTAGGTGTTAAAAAGGGCATTCTTTATTCAGCATGCTGGAGGATAGCTCCTCTAATCGAAAGTACCAAATGACAGACAGGGCTTTTTATTACACATACTGTTTACGTATTCATTAGATATTCTTGCTTACTTAATACATATTCATTAGTTTGCTTTACATAGTCACACCCCTTTTGGAAGTCCTTCTTTGGTCCTTCTGGGTCTTTGTTGTCTTGACCTCAGTTCTTGAGCAGGCACAGCGTCACTGTGTTTCACCACAAAAAACGTAGTGTTTGTTCTTTATTTGGGTACACAGACCTTAGTTTACATCTTGTTTGAGTTACATCCTTTATCTTATTCTCTAGGACTTCTCTAAGATTATATTGTTCCTTATTTGGGCATTCTGAGATAGTGTGAGTAAAGTTTCTATTTCTCCTATCAGAACAACGCTAACTTTGCTAAATGGTAGCTAACGTGCCTGGCAAAACTTGCTAGTAAGGCTCTATTTTCGTTATTCTAAGTTTTTTATCGTTTGGTTTTATGTATGGTTCTGTGCTGCTGACTTGGGTCTGGAGCATCTCTCTTATGAGGTGAGACTGTGGGAGCTGGGTCTATTTAGTCTGGAGAAGAGATGACTGAGAAGCAATCTTGTCAATGTGTATAAATACCTCAAAGGCAGGTGCCAAGAGGACAGTGCCAGACTCTTTTTGGTGGTGCCCAGTGACAGGATGAAGAGCAATGGACATAAACTAAAACACAGGAAGTTCTACCTCAACATAAGGAAGAACTTCTTTCCATTGAGGGTGGGAGCACTGGAACAGACTGCCCAGGGAGGTCATATAGTCTCTTTCTCTGGAGACATTCAAAACCCACCTGGATGTGTTCCTGTGTCACCTGCTCTAGGTGACCCTGCCTTGGCAGGGGGGTTGGACTGGATGATCTCCAGAGATCCCTTCTAACCCTAACAATTCTGTGATTCTATGACTTCAAAAAGTTACTACAAAACTAAAAACTATGGTTAAACTCTAGATGTTCTTCAGAGCTGAAAAAAGTTAATTTCAGATCTTCACGATTATCCTTTGCCTTTTCACTTTGTAATTTTTTTCCACTCTAAATCTGTTTTCAGTGTTCAAATAACTTCCCTTGCTTATGTATCTTTAGATGCTTTAGCAAAAATTGAAACCACTTCAGACTCTATCATGTTTCAGATTTCACATTTCCAAAGCATCACTTTATAGGGAAATATTAAAATAATGTTCTATGTGATTAATAAATGGAGAAGATCACACTTCTTAAGTAATGCTCTCTCTGCTGGAGTTAGTGGCCCAACTTCATTGGCTGAGGTTGCAATTTCATGTATGAAATTCTGATTGAATTAGTGCAAAATCCCAAATTTCTTCTTTGCAAGTTGGTTAGTGCCACAGAAATGAATTCAGTGTTGTAAAGAATGTATAGATCAAGCAGCTCTTAAACCTCAAAGTATATCAGTTGGTGTGATTGTTTCTTTACCTCAAGATTTTTTTTTTTTTTGCAAAAGCCATGCTCAGTGATCTGACCTGTGTGGGACAGTGTTTTGTTTTGGTTTTTTTTGAGGGGGGTGTGTGTGTATTTTTTTTTAATTCAGATGTTCTGTTATTATTCATAGTTACACAGCAGGAGGCTTTCATGTAGTAGCTCTTAAGAAGCAAGGCCTAGCTATATAAAGAAAAGTCTTTTAACAGTAATTAAGCCTGAAATAGAATCCAGCTGACCTTACAGCTATCTGAGGACTAGTTGCTGTCACAGGAGTGGTGAGACTGAGTGGATGAGGAAGAGGCAAGTGGATTCTCAAAGATTGGCTTAAGCCAATTGTGAAACTTCATCACAATTGATTTTCTCGTAGTGATTCTATTTTTAACAGGTCAATGTGTTTATCTTGGGTTTCTTTCAAATGTTATTACGAATGACAAGAACATGCCTGTGATTTCTGAGAGCAGTATGTGAAGAGCTGGAGCATAGAGCATATCAAGCACTTCTTATGTGAGGAATAAGCAGTCTCTTTCATGTGTGTTGTTTGTGCCTTGTAAATCTACATCCGTCCTGCTTGCATAATAAAAACATACTGTAGCTCAAGGTGGCACCCTTTGATTGATTTGTATCATCAACTAAAAGATAGGGCTGCCTGTTCATTTGCTGTTCTGTGTGCAGGGGCAGCAGCAGAGGACATGAGTCTACATGCTACCTTGAAATGGCATTTAATAGGCCTGGGTTTTAATCTTGCTGTATAAAGTCAATGCTTTCAGTTTAAGATGCATGGGAAGGGCAATTTAATTAATTGGTAACTTTGTTGGGTCCCTGTTCCCCCTCCTCCCCCTTCCCCCCAAACTGTTGTCTCTGAAATGCAGGTCAAAAAATGGAAGTATACTTGATGAAAGAGCCTGGCAAACTGTTCTGCTCACAGTATTGTATATAAGGGAAGGATAGATTTTGCAGTTCAGGCTCTGGTAGATAGATACTTGGTTACCTCTTGGTCTTGTTCTGTCTCTTTCTCCTGTTCCTGTGATGGCCCTGCTTTATCCTCCTTTACTGAGGTGTTTTTTGTGTCTGTTTCTTCTTGTGTACAGGGGCAACTAGTACTGGCACAGGTTGGTTCTCTAGTTCTGCTGCAGTGTCTGTTGCCGGGGTTGGAGTAGAGTAGCTGCAGGGCCTGTCATTTTGTCATCAGGTTCAGAGACCTTCTTTCCTCTTGAGGATACTGAGTCATGTTGAAGAGGACTTGATAGGCCTGGGTCAGGCCCCAGCACATTGCAGTGATTTGTATCTCTCTGGAATTGCCAGGGTGACAATACACTTTTTGCAAATATTTTACTGTTTTTTCTGAATTCTGCACTTGTTTAGGGATGAGGTTCCAAAACACTGGCGGTGCCCACTGCCCTAGGTACTTGCCCATACTATTCCCACACACCCTGACACTCAGAACTATTCAGCCTCGAGGCAGATCTCTGGGTGATGTTCTTAAATAGTTGTTTAACCTTAAACAAGATCTGAACTATATGCAACGACATGCTGGCTCCTAGCAAAAAGACCAGGTTGGTTTCAAGGGCATTCAAAGGATATTCAAAATCTTTAAAATTCTCAAACACTACTGTAATCATCCTGGAGGAGAAGGAAGATGTTGGATGGATGTATATTGGAAGATGTGTCCCCCATAGGTTGGCTATCTGAGGAGAAAAGGCAAAAGATGTAACTTAATAGTTCCCAATAGATGGCTCCCAAAGTACAGATGGGATGGCAATGCTGAGTACACATACCAGGTTGGTTTCACAACTAGCAGTTCTATCATATCATAGGCCAGCATTACAAAGTACAACAAAATTATAACCTTGGCCCAGGCCTCAAGGATGATAGATAAACACCACTCTAGGGAACACATGCTGCAAGTAAAGTGTTACACAACACTATGGGTGCTGAAAGGATGAGGCTGCATACACATACAGAAGTTGATTTTGGGATTTCTCCACTGATCTTTTTCGGTGTTCCCCTTTTATTCATATTCTCTCATAAACAGCACCTGGTGTTGTCTTTTAGTTAACCAGAATTCCCAGGATCATCCTAAACCAGTGTTTTGATCCCACACATTCACACTTGCATCATGTGGTGGCTGTGTTCAGCCATGAGCAGAAACACATGCTATCATGCAGACCATTAAGTGGTTTTCCACTTTGAGAAACACAACATTCTCTCTGCCAAAACACTCAGCCAAGGTCAGTCCTCCCTTTTGATTCCAATTAACTAAATGCAGGTGCAGAGTGACTAAGCTTGTTCCCGCACAACGCAACTCTGAGAACAAGTGCAACAACTGTGAGAGCAAATAAATCAACAAGCTTATTGAAGGGGTTTTACCTCAAAAATATACAAGGCTCCAAAAATCCGCCTGATGGGTTTATTAAAGGGCCTTCAGTTCTTTTTATACCTTGAGAGAGTGCGTGAGAGAAGAAGCTACACATGTTTCTCAGGAGGTCAAATAACATACTTTTACTGGCAAACTTTAGAAAATAAGGGAACTTGGCAAAAGTTTAAAGGGCAACATTCAACCAAAATAAATCATTTCACAAAGCAATGACTTAGCACATGCTAACCCATACAACTTAGCAAAATCCAACCCCTCCAGCTTTATGTTACCCAAATATCAAGAAAGGAGATTAGGAGAAGAAGAGAGAAAAAGAGAGAATTTCTGTGCAATTCCAGCTTCCATGTGTCCAGACAGTAAGGTTGTGACTGTGCAGTAGCCACATGGTGTTGGTTTTGTTTGCTCTGAACTCTTGTGGGCACACCACACCCCCCCTCCAGGTTGGGCTTCCGGTGTGCTAGCCATTCTGAGGCTGGGTTAGGGGCTTCAGGGGGCGTGGTGTGGAGCAGTGCTCCCAATGTGCCGGTGACTGACAGCTGCACTAGAGGCTCTCAAGGAGGTGGGGTTATGGGGGGGTAGAGCACCATTCCACCTTGGCAGAACCCAATCTGTCCCCTCCCCTCACGCACTGAGTTGTTTCAAGACAATAATAACTTTAATAACCTTTTTCAGTCCCTCACAGATGGGGAGGAGAATTGGAAAAAACGTAAAACCCGTGGGTTGAGATAACAGTTTAGTAATTGAAATAACATAAAATATTGTTATAATAATAAGAAGAAAAAGAGAAATCCAAGATAAACAAGTTATGCACAATACAATTGCTCGCCACCCACTGACCAATGCCCAGCCTGTCCCCTGGCAGTGATTGGCAGCTCCCAGCCAACTCCCCCCACTGTATATACTGAGCATGATGTTATATTGTATGGAATATCCCTTTGGCCAGTTCAGGTCAGCTGTCCTGGCTATGCTCCCTCACAGCATCTTGTGCACCTGCTTGCTGACAAAGAATAGAAAACTGAGAAGTCCTTGATTTAGAGTAAGCACTACCAAGCAAGAACTAAAACATCACTGTGTTATCAACATTATTCTCCTACTAAATCCAAAATGCAGCACTGTAACATCTACTAAGAAGGAAGTTAATGCTATCCTAGCCAAAACCAGGATGGGTGGTTAAAGTAAAACCCACTGTAATTAAGTTGGTTTAGTTGTTTTAGGAAGGAATATATGCATTTTTCAACCATACTTGCAGCATTTGTGGATTCTACATTTAAAAGAATGTTAGTTCAAAATAGGGAGGATATTTGACCATTTTGGTTTTCTTATCTGTTCAATAATAACTTGTATCTGCTTTTTTCCCCCCAGTTATTTGTAATAGATGTCCAGACCGGTCAAATTACCAAGATTCCTATTCTGAAAGATCGTGAACCTGGCATGGTGAACCAGCAGGGATGTGGTATTCATGCCATTGAGCTCAACCCCTCAAGGACCCTTCTGGCCACAGGTGGAGACAACCCCAACAGTCTTGCAATTTATCATCTGCCTACACTTGATCCTGTGTGTGTGGGAGATGTAAGTGGGAGTATTTGGGAAAAGTTTATTCTGTCCCAAGAGTTACTACTTTGAAGTGCATAAGGTCAGAACAAGGTTAAGATTTGGGAGTTTTGTAGTGGAGAGTGAATTTCTGAAAGCTTGAAAATATTCCTGATCAAGTTGTATTTTTTGACAAGATATCTTAAATATGAGTGAGTACATAAACATGCGAGTCGATTCTCAGGATTCTGAGTCAGATTTCTTCTTCCTTACCCTCATTCAGGTCTACTTCAGATTACTTTTAAGCATTGAAAATGTAACAAGATCTTAACTGTTAAAGTCTAATTGTGGCGATGATGATCTCTGAAACTAGATTTAGTGAAAAAGGTCTTTTGAGAAACTGTAAAGATGATTCAAGGTTTTCCCTTCTCCAGTGTAGCTTATATATGTATTATTTCAGAGACAGAACTTGGCTTTGAGGATTAGTTCTAACCCAGTGGCTCGTTGGCAGTTTGATAGACTCTGGTATTGTTTTTATTTCTGAAACATTGTGAGACCTTTTTAAAACAGCCACTCTTAAAAAGAAAAAAGGCTGAAATGAGTATGGTGTTGTCCTGTAAGCACTTCTCTCTTATTTTTCCTTTTGGATTCAGGACTTTGCATAGACATTAACTACAACAGCAGAGGTTCGGTCAGAGTTTCTGCAGCAGGAGATAACCAGCTGCAGAAAGGCTTGACTCTGAAGATTTGCATGACTTGCTATTCATTTGTGTGCCACTGTGACTCTGCAGCTTTTCAAACAGAACTAGAGCCTTATGGTCTTTTTTTTCTCCATAGGCTTCTCACCTGCTGAATAAAAGATTCCTGAAAAATTAATCTGTAGGTCGTATATTGTAATCATAATGTTTTGGTTTCTTTTTATAGTAGGGATGTGCATTTGAGGAAATAAAAGTATGCAACTACTTTATAGAAGTAAAGAACACTGCTTTCAAAATGGAAAAAATCCAAGTCTTCAGAATTGAGATTAATTTGTCCTTTATCAGAGATCTTTTTCTATCACCTAATTGCTCTCTATTAATTATACAAGTTAAAATTACTGTTAGGTACAACTGCTCCAGCTTGATACTGAAAACTTATTTATATGTTTTTAACATAGGTCTCTCCTTCTGAGTTTGCACTTAAGTATTCTTCACTTTGATTTTTTTTTTGGTCTGCCTTGAGACTACTGCAGAATATAATGGCACAGAAAATCTGTCTTTTTCTTTACTTTTAGGATGGACATAAGGACTGGATATTTTCAATTGCATGGATAAGCGATACTATGGCTGTTTCTGGTAAAGTTAATTTTTATTATTTTTCCCAGAATTTTATACTGATTTACAGCACTTGATAGGTCTTAGGGAAGCACTTTTATAAGGCATTTGAAATCACTTGGAACTACTTTGCCTATTTAAACCATTCTTGGTCTTAGTACAGTGCTTTGTCTTTTTTTTTGTTTGTTTGTTTTGGTTATTTGTTGTTGTTGTTGTAGGGCCCTGGTCTAGATTGAATTTTTTTTTTCTAGTATTAGAGGGAATACTGCTATCTTTACAGTAGGTGTTGCCATGAGCAGGTGCCTAAACACAGTAAGTTCAGGGGGGAAGGATCCTACACAAGAATAATTTCAAGAGGGGTGTTGGTTGTCAGTTAACAACTTTGAATACAGCAGAACAGTATTGGTTTCCTGAAATTTTATGAAAGACTGATTAATAAAAACTCTGTTTTATCAAGCTATCAGTAAAGTGGTGTGTGTGTGTATATATATGCACAAATACTATGGTAATTAATACAGAAGGTTGTAATAGAAAAGGTCAATTACTGACTTTTTAGTCAGTGTAGTTGGATAATCAGTGTAACTTCATAAAATATTACTTAACTTAGGTAAAGGCAGCAATATGCAGTTGAATTAATGTAGTAGTTTACTGTCTTTCTGTGCTGAGAGGGTTGTAGTATTCTGTAAAAGGAGGTGTCAAACTGAAGATGACAGAAAATTGTAAGTCTTGTATAAAAATGAAATACTTGAATTGAGAATTCAGTAATATAAAAAAAAAAAAGCTAATCCTTGAGTTGATCCTTGCAATTTTTCCAATCCAAATATCTGCATTAAAAAAAAACATTGTCACGTTGTGTAGGGAAGAAATTGAGGTACATGTCAAATCTGTCAGAGCTGACTTAGAAGTGAGTTGCCTAAACACCAGAAGGGATGGGTATAGGACCTTGGATTAAACCTGTGTTGATTTATGAACCATAGACATTTAACTTCCTTCATTCAGTATTGGTACTCTTATTGATTCATATTTTATATTAATATCTTCAAATTCAGTAGAAAAATAAAATGAGTTCTTGCTTGTTCAGACTCAGTTCCTGTGTTATATTCTTTAAACAAGAGATTGCATGAGTTTAAAAAAGAAATTAAAAATAGATTTGGTACAAATTGTTGTTTTAAATAGATGTTTCTGTTCAACTCACTAATGTGCATGTACATATCCATAAACATACTGTCAGAAATCAAGCGATCTAAAATTGTTGTAAACCCAACAGAGTTTTCTTGGAGGTTTTTGTATTGACTTAACAGACTGTCAATCTTGGCCTTGGTAAACCAGGCTCAGGCTGAATGCATAGGCTATTCAGTTGCCTCTGAGTTTATTCTACATGTGAGTCTCTAATGGTGATTTTTGTACAGGATTGTGGTTTTTTGATGCATCCTAATAAATTTGAAAACAGATGAGGTGATCTAGCTTCTTGGAAACCACATAGACAAACCAGTTGACAATGAGTTTGCAATGTTATCAACTTTACAGCTCAGTAAAATCATGATTTTGTTAACAATAATTAATATATAGACACCAAGTGTGTTTGGTTAGATTAAATTAATCTAAAGTATCCTTTCTTTCTTTCAGACCTTACTGTTTATTGTAGTTCGTTTTTTAAAAAGGGGAATTATGTATATGTGAAATGCTGTTATGGACTATTTATTCAGGTTCCCGGGATGGTTCGATGGGTCTATGGGAAGTCACAGAGGATGTGTTGTCCAAAAGCAATGCCAGGCATAATGTCTCTCAAGTTCCTGTCTATGCCCACATAACACACAGGGCTCTGAAGGATATCCCTAAGGAGAACACCAATCCTGACAACTGCAAAGTCCGAGCATTGGCTTTCAACAATAAGAACAAGGTAGGTAAGATACGCAAGACAGTTGAGTAGTCCTAAAACTGTCCATATGTATTTGAAAAAGAAAAAAATAATCTTAATCAAATATACTGGAGAATCAACCTAGAATGTGAGTTTGTAAGGACATCTCTAATACAGAAAATAATGCTCTTACTTTTTTTTTTTTTAATAATAGGAGCTGGGAGCTGTGTCCCTGGATGGTTATTTTCATCTTTGGAAAGCAGAGTACACATTATCAAAGGTGCTTCTCTGTTACTGTAAAACTTAAAAAATGGCTTAACATTTAAGGCTGTTCACTATTCTTTATCTCCTTTAAATGCTTGAAGAAAGAGCAGCAGTGTTTGGTCTGGGGTGATTCGGTGGGAACACTAAATTGGGGAGTACCATTCCTACACCGTGACAGTCAATTTGGCACCCAATGTGTGGCATGAAGCGTTGAGATAACAACAGATCTGACCAGCGTGGGTTGGAAACAAATTTGATCTAAGCATTTGCTGTTTTAGATACGGAGCCACTGGTCACAATGTTGCTTGGTCTGTTCACATGGTTGTGGTACCTTACCCTGTGTATATTCTTATATATTCACTATGTGCTCCTGGCAATGCCCTTTTTCAGAGCAGGGAGAGGGATCAGGATTGCTTTGTTGTTCAGTTTATGACATGATAACATCAAGGGCAATGAGGGTCATTTGGGATGTGTATTCAGTGTTGCTCTCCTGCCCTTACCTCAGGTGCTACCTCTGGGAATTCATTAATAATCGTACCCAGTCTGCGGGGGGGAAAAGGAGAGGATGATTTTCTCCAGCTTTTCACCCCCTTTTCCTCCTTCAGGCCTGGTACAACAGCTTTTGGCAATTCTGAATTCCCCTTGGATGTTAAGGAAAGCATGTTCTTGTTGCTAAGTCTGCCAGGTCTCCTCAGTGTGGTCCACACCATGTTTAGAGTTACAAAAGAGAATTTTAGGAAGGTCATTCAGAGATCTACCTTGAGGGTAGATAGTCATGAGTGGCATGGAAGGTGGGGAGGACATGGGCAAGTTTTTGGGGACTTCTCCAATGGTTTGGAAGTTCACCCCTGAACAACTACAGGACCCTGATAAAGTGGCAGAATATTTGAAAGGAAAATACTGTGGTAATTCCAGAGAGGCGCAAAGTTATTCAATGTGCTGGGCCCTGGCTACTATTTACCAGACATTGCTCAGTACTAGACAGCACCCTCAGGGGGAGGAGGAGGAAAGCAGACCAACAGACACTGTGGCCACTCAAACTGCAGCTGAACCAGAGGAACAACCCGTGCTGGTAGCAGTCGTACCTATACAGTTGAAGAAATGCAAGACCAAATCAGTTCCCTTAGTGAGGGATGAAGAGGAAGCAGGGCCCTCACAACAGGAGGAAGAGGCAGGACCAGAGATAATCACCCAATCCCTGTCCCTGGGGTGAGCTTCGAGATATGAGAAAAGATTTCAGCTGCCATCTGGGTGAGCACATTGTGACCTTGCTGCTCTGATGCTGGAAAATTGTGACCCACAGTTGGAAATTAGAGGGTAGTGAAGCCAAGCAGCTGGAATCCCTGTCCAGGGATGCAGGCATTGACAAGGGGATTGGGAAGAGGACAGAAATCCTCAACCTCTGGAGGTGACTCCTGTCAAACATGAGAGAAAGGTATCTTTTCAAGGGTGATCTATTAGTGCACTGAGACAAGTGGAACACCATGGAGCAAGGTATCCAGTACCTGAGAGAATTAACTGTGCTGGAGGTAACCTATAAGGATTCAAGTAACAAACAGTCCCCTGTAGATTCAGATGAAGTCCATTGTACACAAACCACGTGGCAGACGTTCCTACGGAGCATGCCATCATTGTATCCCAACTCATTGGCAGTGATGTCATGGAAAGAAGGAGAACAACCTGGATAATTTACTTGTCCAACTCCAGCAATATGAAGAAAGTCTCTCTTTCTCCCTATGGGCCTGCATTTCGGCTGTGGAAAGACTGTCCAAGGACTTCCAGCAATTTAGAGAAAATGTCCCATACCCCTCCAGTACAGACCAGTGTCTCTGCTATTTGGAGCAAGTGCCCTCCTGCTCAAGAGAGAGGGGACAACACCACGAGGTTTTACCTGCGTGATGACGGAGAGGACATGAGGAAGTGGGATGGAAAATGCACCTCTGCCCTAGCAGCACAGATATGAGTTGAAAGGAAGAACAACCACCACAGGAAATTTTTCAAATAAATGCCCCTCCAGTTTCCAGTGGGCAAGTCCTCAGACAGAATAGAAGGGATGATGTTACTTCTGATCCTCTTGAAGGGACCTCCAGTTCATGTTTACAAGAAGTGAGCAACGAGTACTATGACCAGAACTAGAGGGGCCCTGCCTCCAACCAGGTGGAGGAAAGGGACATTCGGATCTATTGGACTGTGTGGATTCAATGGCACATAAGAACCACAAGAGTATAAGGCTTTGGTTGACACCAGTGCACAGTGTACCCTGATGCCATTAAGATATATAGGGGCAGAATCCATCTCTATTCCTGTCTTTAGTATTGTTGTTACTGTTCGTTTTCTTATTTCATTGATGTTTCTAGCACATTGTTCTTAGCTCAGCCTGTGATCTTTACCTTTTTGTGCCTCCAATTCTCCTCTCCATCCTGCTACACGGGGAGGTAGGGAGGAAGTGAGTGAGTGGCACGTGGTCTGGGGTGATTCAGTGGGAACACTAAATTGGGGAATACCATTCCTTATCCGTGACAAACACTTAAAATCTTTATGTAAAATGCAATGTCCTAAATAATAAAACTTGGGAGACAGAAACTTCCCACTCATCTTATTTTGGAGGGTAAGAGATGCTCTTAACTTTCTGCCAGTTCTGGGTGAACTCAAGTGAACTTTTCCATAGAGTATATCGGATACTTAATTAGCAGCGTTCATTAAGGAAGTTGTACTTATTTAAATGTAATTGCAGATCAAACCCAGAAATATCTATACTACTGTATGAAGTAAGCTTTTTCAACTGAGTGATGATGTCTGTGTATACCTGTTGAAGAAATAACAACAGCTTAGAAAAATGTAAAACAATATACCAAAATGTCTGTTTTTCTTTGCATAATACTTGACTTCAGCCTTTATCATCTCAGTTTGGTTCAGACAAGGCATCCAGTCTCCTTCAGATTTTTTTCTCTCTGGGTCAGGTTGTTGCTTTTCTCTTAAAGTTCTACTGTTGGGATGAACTTATTTTTTAGCTGCATTTTGGGTTTTTTCACTTCAACTTCCTTGAACATAGCTTACAGAATTGTTCTATTAATGTTTTTCTCTTTTCTCATAATGTATTGATTTGTCTTTCCTCTGTTTCCAGTTACTTTCCACAAAGTTGCCATACTGCAGGGAGAATGTGTGTTTGGCTTATGGTCAGGAGTGGTCAGTGTATGCAGTAGGATCACAGGCACATGTCTCCTTTCTGGATCCGAGGCAGCCTTCTCACAATGTTAAATCCGTCTGTTCCAAAGAACGCGGCAGTGGTAAGAAATTTGTCAGAGGGTGCTTCAAATTGTTTGCTTGCAGAAGTAGCTATTAAGACTGCAGTAAGGTAAGCTTCTAATAAATAGGAAGGGTTTTTCATGTGATAGACTAAATCATTAAAAGCATATATAGGTTTTGCTTTTATGACATTATTCCTTGAGCAACCAACAAACCAAACATAAAAGCAACTCAAATCTAATGAAGGACAACATCAGTGATTTTATGATCAACTAAATTGCACACCATTGAAATATTAGTTAACTTTTGAAAGCATACATTTTACTTATTACTGAACTTTCACTGTGCATTTTACTTCTGCTTATTTTTTAGTGTCTTATTCTGTTTTACTTCATCTCAAAGTAAATCCAGTCTTCATACCACTATTGTCTATTTTTACATTTTTCTCTGGGAACAGGAAAAAAGCATGCTGTCTGCTCTGTGCTATCATATTGGGTGTCAGTGCTGTGAGTGAATGCTTGCTTTGTAATTTTAAAGCCATGAGTGAGACACTTAATCATCAGTATGTATTTATTTACTTTAAATATACAAAAACTTACTCTTTAAAAAGTTTGCAGATTTGAGTGCTGTTTTCCTTTTCTGATGTGAATGCAGTATGTCCAGTTGAACTTTACACCTGGGCTGAGCCTGAGGGTTTGTAGAGTACATGGTCCCATAAGCTTCTTCCCATATTCTTTATTTTCAAGCATGAGAAGGCACTGTGCTGTGATGCCCATTTTAAACCATATTAATCCCAGACTAATAAGTTGGAGTCCTTATTTAACTTGACTCTAGGCATTTATCTCTTCATTGGGCAAGTTATAAAAAAAATTTGCATGTAGACAAGGATTAGGAAATTTTTATTTATGTGGTTACTGGGGTTTGAAAAGTGCTGTCTAGATAAATGTTAGGGTCTTCTTCTTTCAGATACAGAAGTTTCTATAATATGATAAAAGGTGCTTTATCAGCTCTTGTTTGTCACTTGAACATCTTGCCAGCAACACCCCTTGTCTTGACCCACTGTCAGTGAGGGCTCTGTGAAGGTGTCACCCTTCAGTATCATAGGGAAGAAATACCAAGACACTGGAGTGTGGTGACTGGTGGCTAAAAACTCCTGCTGGGAGGGATGATCTATGTGTAAGGAGTATCTCTGGGGTGCTAGTTCATATCTGGAGAAAGCCTTTGTTCAATGCTGTTTTCTATTCTGCATAGTAGGCAAATTTTGTGTGTGTGTGTGTGTGTGTGATGGTGGAGGCACCATATTAATTCCCAAGATACTGACTGTTTCAGCTTTCCGTTGGTCTCACTGGGACTTGGAGTGTTGCAGCACCTCTAGAAAGTAGGCTGTTTATTGATTTGCAAACTAAAATCTGGGTTGGCTTTTAAGTGATTCGAAGTGTTACTTGAATGTGCTTTCAGCTTCTAAATGCACCTGATGAACATGGTAAGTCCACATTAATTTCAGTTCACTAGTGTTGTATACAAAAGTAGGTCAGAGAAAGGTTGTCAGACTGAAACTGGGGCTGGTTTTTACCTAGTATAACCCTGTCTGTTCTACGTGAGAAGGTAGCTAATGCTTTTTAGTGCATCTTGTGACTGTTGCTTTTCTTAGCAGCTGTATGGGAAAGTGCAGGCCCTGGACTGTAGTTCTCAATCTGTTAGAGCAACTGCTTTCTGCTTGACTGACCTGCAGAGCAATGTTGTGTGCCCTTGACTTTATAATCCTGAAGGCAGCAATGTTAATACAGTGGACAGAGCTTGTGCAACACAGACTTTGTGTCTATTCTTTGCATAGGACATGCTACTGCATCTTCATTTCCTTCCGGGATTTGTAGAGCTCCCTGCTTCTCAGGAGTAAGACTCAATTTGCTCACCCAAATAGTCCAGGCCCACAGGTGGTAGAGTGATGGGAATGTAGGAGAGCTTACTGTGATCAATTCTAGGCACAAGCGGTGCTTTTAGTTTAATGGGAATGATTAATCTGAGGTATTTCAACCCCTTAGGAGCCAACTTGAAATGCTGTTCTTGAAAGCATGTTCTAAACATCTACTTAGTAGCAGGTACATCATGAATTCCTTCAGTTTTCTTAAAATTTTTGGTTAGAGAAAGATTCACAGTTCTTCTCTATTTTATAGCTTTTTATTAATAAATTGCATTGAAAAGTATATGCCATCTGCTTTCATACTCCATCACCTGTCTCTGTTAAGTAAGTGTTCTATTGGGTTGCTTGTCAATAAGCACTTTTGAAGCAAAAATAAGAGGAGGTCTGCTCTTGTGCCTTTCTCCTCTTATCCAAGTGACTGCTCTTGCTGACTACAGAGGGCTTAAAGCTTTCTGCATGTATTTGCCAGAGCCAGGCCCTTGTAATGGTGATGAATAACAGGAGCAAAGTTCCAAATAACAAGATGAATAACAGTGGTTAAGCAATGGAAGCAATAACCATGGGAATGTAGAAAACAGAAAATTGATGGCCTAAGTCCTTGAACAGAGGGGAAAACAAAAAAGAAAACACCTTTCTTATCCAGGATGTCTAATGATGAGCCAACAAACCCCCAGTTTTGACTGGTTCTGTGATAAGAACTTTCCCTAGGGATGAACTTTGCTCATTATAATAGTAAAAATCACACCCCTAGCTCAGGGACCCTCTACTCACAAAAAGACCACTATTCATTGAGCATGTGCCATGATTTCTTGGGACACTATGTGTACTGGTTTAAAGGTAAACCAGCAGGGGGAAATGAACTCAACTCAAAAGAGAGATTATAAATCAGAATAACAATTTAATAAAATAATACAATAAGTATGATTATACAGACAAACAATTGGTTTTAACCCACAAAACCCAAATGTATAACCCAGCACCCTGGGGCATGAACAGAGTGGTGTTCTTTGGGCCCCCTGAGTCCAAAGTAAAGGGAGAGGGGGAAAACCTGTTGGTGAGAGTGCTGTTGCAGTCTGGTCAAAAGTGGTGATTGCAGTCCGGTCGAGGGTGGTGGTTGCAGTCCAGTCGAGAGTGGTGGTCTGCAGTCTGGTTGGGAGTGGTGGTCTGCAGTCTTCCTCTGGATCCCACGAGTGGTTAAAAAAGTCCCAAGACTCCAAGATTATATATTCTCCAGTTCAGGCAGGAATGCTCAGTACTTCCCTCAGGGCAGGGGGTTCCTCAATGGGTGTGAGGACAAAAACACCCTTCTATCTTGCAGGCCTCTTAGCACCTAGTTTGTAGCCTGATGAGTCAGGCTACTCTGGGCAGAGGGTGCAAATAGTCTATTGACAACAGTTTCTGGGAAATGGCATGGAAGGCTATAGAATACACAGTTTTGGGTTACACCCATCCAGTGATGAACTGGGCCCAGTTGTTCTAACTAGGACACTATGCCTTTAAATTGCAGTAAAGAAATGATAAGCCAATAGCAACTTAGCCAAGTAGTGACTTAAGTAAGATATACTAATAGCCTAAGATTGTAACCATATAAGTAGGCCTTCCTTTGCCTTGGTGTGCTGGCTTTGTGGATTTGCCACCCAACCCCACCTTTCTGCTCAGAACTGTAAATAAATCAAATACCTCGACTCTATGGTGATCGGACTCTTGCACACTGGGTGAAAGAACCCGGTTCAGGACAACAATGAGGGGGGAGGGATGTCTCCCATTGCTCAGATGCACTTGTAGTTCTCTGAATTAGAGATTCTTATACAAATCTGGTAAATCTACTTCAGCAGGTGTGAGACTTGCACAGTGGTTTCCCACCTATTAAACCTGCAACCAAGACTTCACCTCATATCTGGAACACAACAATGTGGCCTTGCCTGTTCTAAGTGTGTGTAACAGATGCTGGTGGCTGTGGGCGTAACATCAGGTTGTGGAGGTGGAAGAATGAGGATACGTTTCTAGTTAGGACTCTGTACAGAGGGGAAGGGGAAAGTCTCTGCATCTACACTTCTTGGATGTCTGCTGTCATGTGTACTGCTGGGTGTATTCCAGTATGTCACAAGTTTTGTGATGTTCAGCCTCACTTGGTACAGTGACAGCGCTTGGCATGTGAATGTAACTGGCATAACTCACTCTTTTCCCCTCCTGTAATTCAGTGGTACTTTAAAGACAGCTTAAAAAACTCTAGGGTTTATAACCTGCCTTCATGTTGTGCAGAAAGGGGAAGCATAGATGTGGTGGGGATTAATCTGCATAGAAGTGTTGTTTGGGTTAGAGTACTTAGACAGAGCAAACCTTTTGCACAATAAATAGAGATGAGATGACAGGACACTTTGCAAATTGCAAATTCCTATGTATAGAATCTCCACAAGACTATTTCCAAGGGAAGGAAGTTTAATCTGAAGCTGAGGCTTCAGACTAAGATTTTGGGAAAACAAAATGTACTCTTTTGCTCAATCTAATGTCATAAGTGAATTGTGTTAGAATGTTTTGTTTGGACTGGAAACTTGTAGCTTCCCATATGCTGGTGTAACATGGTGGTGCTTTGCTTGTAGTATTGTTTTCATGCTGGGTGAAGTGCTAAAAGTACTAACTACCAAGTAAGGTGTGCTGGTGTGAGAATATTTAAGCAGGGATAGCCTCAAAATTATTTAAAAGTGACTAGTGATTATTATGCTTATACCTGTTGACCAGCAAAATGCACTTGGTAGCAGCTGGGACAGTAATTTTTCTTACATAGTCACATCACAGCTTGGCAGGTAGCTAGAGAGGGTGTGAACTCGTGGAGGAAACCAATGTGCCATTCTTTCCTCTGTCTGCTGCCATGTACTCATGGTGTGTTCACCTAGAGGCTTGTGAAAAACAGAACAAAGCTATTCTTGATCCTAAATGGCTTGTGATCTTTGTTTATCTGTTAGAGCTGGGGCCTGCTGAGAATTAAGCTTCTTACTATGCACCATCAGTGTAGCTGATGACATCAGAGGAGAAAGGAAGTAGTATATGTAATTGAAGCTGCTGTTTCAGTAGCATCAATGGCATTTGTCTTTATTGCTCCATGGCAGTGTGTGCTTCAAACTTGTGTGTTGTTGAGAATACTAGTAGGTAGTTCCTCTTAAAGAAAATATTAAACATCAAGCAGCAGCACTGCAGGGCCAAAGCATCCATTTTCCTTACTGCATTGTGTGTCCCTTCTCTATTTGACAGGTATTCGATCGGTGAGCTTCTATGAGCACATCATCACAGTGGGAACGGGGCAAGGTTCCTTATTGTTTTACGATATCCGAGCCCAGAGATTCCTGGATGAAAAGCCCCCACGTGCCTGCTATGGACAGAAGCAGAAATTAGGAGGAAGTGAAATTTTGAAGTTGACTACTGGGAAAGGCTGGCTGGTGAGTAGCTTGTAGTTGTATGAAACCCTTTATACAGGAGTTTACACCGGTTCTTTTTGTAGTAATGGAAGTTATTGTATGAAATGTGTCCCAGTCAAACAGTGATCATGTAACCAATAACTGTAATCTTGAGAAACAAGAAGTGCTACAGAATTGCTTTCTACAAAAGCTTTATGAAAGGGTATTGAATGGTTGGTTACTTGAGTGTAAGGCATACTGACTACTGTTCTTATGCACTGATTCATAAACGAACTAGATTTTATATCTTTATATTTTCTAATGTAATCTAACTTCTAGTTTTCAGAACCTCAAACACAAATTACATTGTCTTCCTTTAAAAATGTGCCACTCTAATGTGGTACTCAAAGCAAGAGAGATTTAATTTAGTTGTGTGCAATATTAGAAACTAGCCTTCTGAGGTAATGACATGGCAGGCACTTTCCCGTTCAGTTTCCCGTATGTTATCATAAAGCAGTTAATGGCTTTGTCTAACTTCTCTCCATTATCTTTTGTATCATTGTGATGTAACTTTAATGAAACCTGATATCTTCCCTACCCCTCACCTCCTCTCTACAATGTTTGGCCCAAATGTCCTCAGAAAAAGATTCAGGAGAACTTTGTTATCTTCTCATTGATCTACCTGAAACTTTAGGAGTATTAACAGAGAAGATCCCTTTTAAGGCTCTGGAAGCTACCTTCTGCTTTTGTGAAACAAGGTTTTGTGTTTGTTTGACAACAGTACTAATCTAAACTTTCCTTTTGCAGAATCATGATGAAACCTGGAGGAATTATTTTTCTGACATACATTTCTTCCCAAATGCTGTTTACACCCACTGTTACGACTCATCTGGAACAAAACTCTTTGTGGCAGGAGGCCCCCTTCCATCAGGACTTCATGGGAATTACGCTGGTCTCTGGAGCTAATGATAACTCTTCATAAATGCTGATCTTTACACAGATTTCCACTTTTCTTTCCTGTTTTAACAACCAAATTGTGTGATGCCATTGATTTCTGGTTTAAATGCAAGTTACTTTTTGGCAGAGTTTTCTGTTGGTCTCTAACAGTCTTGTACATCTTTTTGAACCATTATTTTTGCTTTAACCTCTTTGACATTTTATATGAAGGGGTTTTTAAATCCTTTTTTTATTGTATTTACTCCAAATGACTCTTCCCCCACATTTAGGCTCTCTTGGCCATGTGTCCCCTCCTCTTCTTTGCTGTGAGGTAGGATTCCTTTCTTATAGAGTGGTTGCTCCTGGGCTTTCTGTGAAAGTCTAGGGACTGTGTGTCTGCAGGTATTTTGTGTCAGTTCCATTACCTGGAGTGAGGAGTACTTGTAATTAAAAAATATTAAAAATATTTATAAGAGATAAACTACTAATTTATCTGTAGTGCCTGGCCCTAGCCTGGGTTAATCTTATTTTTTAAAAGTACAAGTCTAATGACACTGTTTATACATAGAGGAATACGGTAATTTTAAGCTGTACTAATTGGAGCCCAGGGACAGATTCCCCAGGGATATTGCCCATCAAACCCAAAGTGCAGGAGTTCTCAAAAATGTGTTTGAATTTGAATTGTAGTTTTCAGCAGTTCCAAGAGCAAAAATTGATCCACTCTTCCTTTTCTGCTTCTCCCAGGTATCGGCTTGCACAACAGGAGTTTGTATAGGCTGTTCTGCAGTGTGGCTATTGCAGGATGACATTACATTGAGGGCCTGCAGAGGTGCTGAGAGGAAATGGAGGCTAGGGACATGAGTGTTCTTGTTCTTCAAAATGAACTAAATCTATCAATTTTCCAGATGAGTCAAGGTTCCTTAGTATGCTGCTGCGGTAGCTCATGGGTTCTTCATAAACTACCTAAAACCCAGCACCTCTTTATGTCTCAGGTTGTGGAAACTTTTCCCATTTTAGCTGTTCTGGTTGGCCATCTCCTCTAATAAGCCAATGGAATAAATAAAACGTTGTGGGGGTTTTTTTTGTGGTTAAAGAGTGCATCTTGGACTTGTCTAATGCAAGCTAGAAGCTTTCCATGTAGCAAGATAACTTGTTGTTAGCTCACATTGAGCTAGCATCTGTTGTCATCTTGATTGCTGTAGGAGAGGCTCAGGCTTTTCCCGAATCCCCTGCTACCTTCTACATTCAAACTCCCTCAAACTTCACATGGGACTAGGTGGGGAGAATAGGTCCAATGCTCTTCAGGTCCAGCCATGAAGCATGTGCATTCCAGGGTGATGGTCTTACCTAATACTCACTAAAATGCAGGACTCAAGGGTGCTCCTCCTAGCCTTTTAGCAGGCACCAAACTTGGCTTGTTATTGACACCTCTGTCCTCTGCTGAGATGAATGCCTTTCCCCTGCCCTTGTCACCAGTGGAGCAGAGTGTGTCTATATCCCACTGTTTTGGTGCCAAATGGGCAGTTGGCTGAAGCTGAGAAGAAAGACAAGGCTGGGACATGCTCTGTTCTCCTGTGTCTGCTGGAGATCACAGCCACCGCTGTAGAGTAGTTCTAGTCCCATATGCAGTTCCTGCCAAATTGCCTAGAGCTAGTCTGCATGCGTCTTTGTGGTCCCTCTTGTCTCTGTACTCTCTATCTTCATCAGTAATGCCAAGCAGTGAGACTTGGGCTTAATTTCCAGTAGGTAGTGGACACTTGGATGAAAATCCTGCAAGGAATGCAGTTCTCTCCCATCCAGGTGAAAATCCTGGTAAGATAAGAGGTCTCCCAGATGTGCACCTGTCTCAGAAGTATAATTTACTCACACTGAGTACTGACATGGGTACCTCACAAACAGATCTTCTTGCTGTTTCATAATTCTACTTCCCTTGTGGGTTGGTTGGTCAGTTCATGGTGAAATTATAAACTATGGTGTAGCAAAGGAGCTCTCAAATTTTATGTAGAGTTGTTCATTGTTTTTTAAAGATGTAATGGTGCCTGTGTTGTTCTGTGATGGCAGCATACTGCTTTGGTTATTTTAGGGGCTTTGAAAAGTGGAAGTATACAGAGGAAAACAAATCTTGGTGAAGTATGGCAGGATGTGTATTTCTAGGATTACTCCTCCAGCTACTGTGTAAGATCATTCTTATCACAGGTTAGTTGTTTCTGGTTAGTTGTTTTGTTGGGCTTGATTTGAGGTGCCTTTTTGGTTTTCCTCTCCTCTAAAGAAACTAGACATTTGAGTCTGAGTGTCCTCTAATTCTGCTGAAACAAGTATTTAGGCGCTTAGTGTCACCAGTGCCAAACTCCTGATCTGGAAACCCTAGCCCTGATGTTGATCTATTAATTTGAAGAAAATTCCAGGTCTGAGTGAGGGGACCAAAAGGGTATTTGTATGGACTGAGCTTTAACCTCTAAACATGGAGGCTGATCTTTCTGCAGTCAGCAAAGTCTCTACGTTATTGAAGAGGTCACCTTGGCACCCCTGGAAAATGTCCCTCTCTGCTGACTCTGATCTCCACAAGTACCTCAATGTGTGGTCCTAAAGCCTGGTAGTGTGAGTGCCCTTTTCCTCCCTTTTTTTCTGCATAGGAAGCTTTGGACAATTCTCAGAAGAGTCTGGACAATGATGTAAAATTTCCCAAGTTTCACATGCTTCTGTGTATTCTGCTTTCAGAGAGTGCTTTCTTGCAAAGATAACTTCTCATGGGGGGAGACCCATCCTTGTTGCTATATGAAAAGCTCCCCCAAAAACTGGGAACAAACTAGATAGTGCTGCAAACACAAATTTGGCCAGAGGGAACTTAATTCCTAGCCCATTTCAGTGGCTTTAAATGCTTGTAGCAATATAGATATTAAGTTTCCAAATATTTTGTAGTTGGTCATATGTCACTTTTGGTCCAGTCAGTGTTAGAAATTGAGGCAGAGAAAGGTGATGATATGCCAACTGTCCAAATATAAGTCATAGGAGAAACAGGATAAAAAGCCAGGTTTTCTTACTTCTGGTTTAGAGACCAGAATTGAAATCCAGGATCATGGTGAGAAAAGCAGTGGTTTCCCATTGTAGCGCAGAAATGACTGTACAGTAGGGAATCTCTCATCTCTTCATGGAGGCAAGTTGAGCACACCCTGTTGTTCAAATAGCATGGAATTAAGCTTGGTGACTGAGTTTCAGTAGCTTCTTGAATGGCTTGCTGTGCTCTGCTAAGACCCAGTGGCATTTGCATTTTCAGACTGTCTTTTCCAATGTTTCTTAGCGAGTTCCCTCCCTTGCTCTTTCCTGCCCATCTGAATGGTTTGTTTGGGGTTGCCTCCTCCACCTCAAATCATCCCAGTGTTTACTGTAGCAATATTGTACTTGCAGAGATGACCTCTGTTGAGCAGAAATGGGCTTGCTGGCATTCTGTCAAGCCATGCTTGAGACCTGTAATTTGCTTTATTTTAAACTGGATAGACCTTTGAGGCTGGCTCAGACTGGAGAATTGGGTAGCTGCCCTAGTACATGTTTCACTGCTGGGAGGATTACACAGTAAGTCTATTTCCGGGGGGGGAAAGACTCTGGTTTATCTCACATTAGGCACTTGAAAGAGAGAAAAGAACTTTAATTATAACAGACCTTCAGACTTTTCTTCCTGCTGCTGATTTTTCAGTCATGTGGGATCTTCTGTGCAGCCAGTGAGTGTAGGAAGTAGTTAATTTTACTGCTCACCTCTTTTCAGTTAATTTGGGTATCACATTTTCAGTATTCATAATCACAGGTAATCAAACCTAGTGACTTAATTATGGGTTCAGTAATACAATGCTCCCTGGCTGATTTGACTGTACAAGGGAGAAAGCTGGAGGAATTACCAGGAATAAGGTGAAGAGTAGAATCATAGAGATAGACAACAGGTTAGCAAAGGCATATAGTGCTTTTGGAAAACTCCAAAAAAGAGTATGGCATAATAAACACTTGAAGAAAAGTACCGAGATCAGTGTTTACAGAGCCGTAGTGCTGTCTACTCTCTTGTATGGTTCCGAATCATGGGCCATCTACCGCCACCACCTGCGTCTCCTAGAACGCTTCCATCAACGCTGCCTCCGTACAATCCTAAACATCCACTGGTCAGATTTTGTGACCAATACATCTGTTCTAGAGCAAGCAGCAGTCACAAGTATTGAGGCCATGTTACTGAGAACACAGCTGCGATGGGCAGGGCACGTCTCCAGGATGAAGGACCACCGCCTCCCTCAGATCCTGCTTTATGGTGAACTTGCCACTGGCTGCCGCAAGAGAGGAGCCCCGAAGAAAAGATACAAGGACTCCCTGAAACAACATCTCAGCCTTGGCCATATTGATCACCATAACTGGTCTACTCTGGCCTCCAATCAGGAGGCCTGGAGACACGCCATCTATAACGCAGCTGTCTCCTTTGAGAACACACACAGGATCACTCTTGAGGAGAAAAGGCAACGCAGAAAGAACCGTGTCTTACAGAATACACCATCTAAGGAGTCTTTCTGCTGTGCCTTTTGCAATCGGATATGTCTGTCACGTATTGGCCTCATAAGCCACCAGCGTGCCTGTAACAAATGTGGATAGAGCCTTCCCAAATCTTCGTTCGTGAAGCCTACCCATGATGAGAATCATAGATTCTACTGGGTAGCAACCCCTCAGTAACAATTGGGTGTTATGTGATAGACCTTCATAAGGAAGCAGACGCTACTTTGCGGTGTTGGCTTGAGCGTAGGCATGAGGGTGATGCTCGCCCTCTTCACCTTATTTCTGGTAATTCCTCCAGCTTTCTCCCTTGTACAGTCAAGTCTGGTAGGGAGAATTGCTAGTGCTCTCCTTGGGTGCTTTCTGGGATTGCAATAAAGAAGTGAGTCCATTTGTTTGGTTCCCTCATCTGTTGTGCTGGTGTTAGTCCAAGGTGAATAAATTACCAAAGAACAGTTAATAGGTGTTTGTTCCTAATCTCAATTGTTCATTTTCCACATAGATCCATTTTTATGATCATGGCAAGAGTGCCCAGTGATCTTAC